CAGGCTTGTGTACTTTCGGAAAAATCATGTAGTATATAACCTGCGAGATTTATTGGCAAGCAATTATAGACTAAAATATATACTGACGAGTTTTCGCTGTTTTGGCCATAAACATAATGTTGAATTAGGCAGACACACAAAAATACAGTTAGATCAATACATTTTTAGTTTTTGCAGTGATACGTTTGAATTTAGCATGGTAGACAATTGAAATTCACTTTGTTTTTATATGTTCATCTTATATGTTTATTTTATAATGATCTAAGGGCTGATTTATGCAAATACTGACAGTCTGGGCTTACTTCGTCGCTACACAAACTGCCACACCATATATCAACTAGCTCTGTATCTTTTAAAAGTTTTAAAGCGACGAGATAAATATGAATTCAGCTTAACTTAGTACCATATGTTTACATGGATGTTGTATTGTTTTTAAAACGTGATATGCACTTTTCTACCCATTACATTTTGTACGGTGTGGTGAGGCTCTGAACAGAAATAAAATTACATAATTGACTAATACTAAAATGAATAATTGTAGACAGATTTCGACATGAAATTGTGTCACTTTTATGTGCGCTAACATCTGTGAAGAGCGAAAAAGCTCGTGAGTAGCATTCTACCTTAAAATGCTTGGACAATAATGCTAAGATACGTACAGTCTTGTCTTTTTTGTGTACAACATTTTGCCGTAATGGATCAAGGGTGTGGGTGTGTTTGTGGGTGGGGAATGGCCTAGGACCCCTTCTCTAAAATGGTAAAATAGTTCAAAAATGTTATGTGGAATAACTTACCAACGTAACACAAAGTAAACCAATTGAATTTAAAACCGAGAATATAAAAATGTATGTAACAGAGCTCAAAAACACTTTTTGAATATTATAAATAAATATATCATTTATTGTTGTTTTCGAACCCCCTATTCAAAAGTGCTGGCTGGCTACGGGCCTGCGTTTCATTGCGAAATGTTTTGGTTATTGGAGACTGGAAAGCAGTTCCCAGTTCACATTTTGTTTGTGATATTTTGTTCGTAGCATTTGTAACGCAAGTTCGCCAATGCAAAAATAATGATGAATGAAAAGTGTATATACGGTGTTATGTGGAAGCAAGTTAACGGCACATTCATCGCTGCCCTCTATGGCCAATGGCATTCAAGTGAAACAAAGATTGAAAATATGATTTAATAATTGTGGCGGTTGGAGCTTTATAGTTTCCTATAGAGTTTCCTGCTGAAATTAGTTTTATTATTGATAAGTTACCTATAATTGGAAAATCTCGCAGTTCAGACGGACTGTGTCAGGGGGGATTGGCACGAGAGGGCGTCATCCGATCTGAATGGAACGTTTCGACGTCAGTCGTCCGTTGCCCACCGTCAAAGCAACAACGTCCCGTTTACGAACAGATGAACTAATAGTAATTTCAGCAATTTCTTTACAGAATAATCCTCAACAAAACTTAGAAACAATTCGACCGACAACCAGTTTGACACCACAATTTCTTGCTGGAGCCCGAGTTTTACGCGTGATTTTATTGCGTTCAAAACTTCCATTTCAAACTGCGCATGCACACACACTGTGGTTTCTCGAAATGCATACTAATTAGGTGACTTGTCACTGATAAAAGACACCGAAAACATTTTGAGCAATTTTGAGCAATAGTACTAGAGTGAAATATAAACGTGCCTCTGCATTCTCCATTAATTTCGTAACTTGCTATGATCATGGTAAAGAGAAAACATGTGTTTACTTTCAACAGTTAGCTGGAGTCCGATCGAAAACGTGTCTCAAAAAATACCTTTACATAATTTTTCCGATTATTTTTTTAGCTCGTGACGATAGAATCAGTAAATTTAGAACTAACATGTATGCTATCGGAAAGCATTTTGGCACAATTTTACTGAAAAGACGAGTTTTTCATTGCTCGTGAATATTAATTTATGCAAATAAGACGATTATTTCAACCAATCATGCAATCATGTGTCATGCAACTCCCCCCCCCCCCTCCGGACTGTGTCGAGAATCTTGCGGAGAATCCTTGTGTGTGCATTTCGGCAATACTTACTAATGAATCTATTACTAGTACGATGATATAATTTGTTTTACTACCAAGATGGACAAGAATGGCCATGTCACTAGCAAGGACAACTGCCGGCAGATTGTTTTTAAAATGCTCGAGCGCGTTGTTCTGATCTGTGATTCCTAATTTTGTGAAATATACTATTACAAACAACAATATTACAAACAATATTATAACAAACGGCAATGGTACGAACAATACTAAACAATATTAAGTTTGTTTGATTGGCGATTAGAAAATATGTATGTTAAATTATCAAAATTTTGTCAGCTTTTTATAATCGTATGGTAATGAAACAAATTCTAAGCAGTTGTAATGCAAATGTTTCAGAACTTCTTATACGAGGACAGATAATACACATAGGTAATTGTTTGAAACACGCTAGTCTTGTACTGTATGTCTATATATAGTGATTTTAAAACACAAAGTAATAAAACCACAGAATAGATACAACTCCATTCTATTTATGGAGTGTAACATATTTTGCAGACTGTTTAAGTGTATGGTAACGCACATTTACTTATTCTTGGGCTGCCACATTTCTAGTATTAAATTATTTTGCGATATCATAGTAAATTGGCATCATAAATTAGAAGGTTATGTATGTGCGATTTTATAAAAAATACATTTATATTTCCCTTGTATTTTGAAATTCTTTTTTAGAACATAATACACCAGCACTGGGACAGTGATGTATTACGTAACATCTCGGTGTGTTGGGTGTATTACAAACAATACTATTACAAACAAATGTTACAAATTCTTAACTGTGAAAAATGGCGACCACCCTTTTATACCAAATATCGTACTTTATTCACCAATCTAAATACCGTACATAAACAAATACGCAATATTTACAAACAATCAAGCGTTTAGCTTGTATGTCTCCGATGCTTGGGATTTGTATCACGAATTAGTAATCATATTCACAGTTGAAAGACGCAATACTATTGCCACAGTTGTCGCATACATTTATAAGTTATATGAAACCATTAAAGATGGCGCGGCACGAGAACGGTAGAGCGTTAACATAAATTCATCACCCAAGCACGTCGTAGTATTCAAAAAATAAAATAACACGATGACCGACTGAATGGACAAAAAAACAACAACAGAAAATATAAATAATATGTATATTAAAAATGAACAAATCAATGAATGAACTAAGCTTGTCACTAGGTAAAGTACAATACGAAAGAAATAAAAAAAAATAAAAGAATTCAAACAGTTTCACCAAATGCCGGTATCGAAATCTGAAATATCACCACGGCTTTTGATCATCAGTAATATCGGAACTGCACAGGTATCTTCAATGATTGCGATTACGACCACTCAACATAACTATCAATGCAATTAAAGAAACATAATATTTTTTCTAATAATGTTATAGACTACGCGACCCCAGATCTAACTGCATTGCCCACATTTGCATAATGTCACGCTATTCAGGTATAACAGGTTAATACGTTTAGTGACATAATAATCAACCACTAACACGATTAATAAAGCAACATTGAAATGTAATAACTTAGCTCTAGCTCTTTGAAAAATAGACCGGATGACTTTGTACATGGCTTATTGGTGTTTGAATACCCTAAAGAGAGTCGTTGAGGGCGCAATTTATTGGCATAGTTGTTAAGACGCATAAATGAAAAACACGAATGTGGCTGCGATTACGTCATCAGAAGTATAATGATCACAATCATACTTGCTCAGTTAAAGTGTACGATAAAAAAATAACGTATTACAAACACAGTGAACCAGTCAGCAGCTTAAATACCTTCCCACGTGTGTCATATTCATGACGTCATTGGCTAGTCCCCATTTTGCCATAGAGCTAATATATTGTTATACAATGTAAAAATATGTTTGTTAAATATTGGTGAAATGGAATGATAAAATCAATATAAACGTGTTCAAATAATTGTCACGTGAACATCGGAGGTCAAGGCGATATTATTATAATGGAGACGTTGTTTCCAGTTTTTGGTATATTACGTTGCTTGGTCCGTTGCCATGGAGACCAAGCCTGTCAACATACTCCTGTAAGCGTTTCTCCATCTTATTACGTCGATATTGAAAATATCCACAGGAAACTATGCTGAACACCATCACAGCTGTGGGCCAAAATATGGCGTGGAAGACTTGTATCTTGTGTCCGTCGCTGACGTCACTATCTACTTTCAACACCACGTTATTCTCGTTGTCATGATAACACTCGTACGTTGATTCGCGTTTCCCCCACATCGAGGTAAAGTTGAAAATATCTGCCTTTATGACGTCTATGTCCTTTTTGTCTGGGCATGGCGTCCCTAGCGAACACTGAAACAAAATGATAGACCAATATTGTTAGTAATTATCGATGTCTTTCCCGTCACAACATTGCGTTTCCGAGGCAGTACCGAACCACAAACTGGCCTCAGCTGACGAAGCTGGACTACCCATATATGAGATAGTAAGATTTGTGATTAGAATCGTTCGCCGCGTGTTCATATCAGTTTTCGGACACTTGCATATATAACATTATGGAGACCATAAACTTTCCGTTGCAACAACATCATATGCGCGCTGACTATCTTTGTCTCGAATTGAAATGTAAACTATGTATCAAAGACGACTGCAAGTACACACTGTGTATCTCTTGTTGCAATAACCGAACACTGTTGTAACCCGAAATTTGATCATTTTTGCACTGGTTTAGCTTTGTAGTGTTATCATATGATAATACTTACGGTATTCCAGCAATAACTGATCATTTCATATTGTTCTATCATTATTATGGCATTGTTTGATGGTTGCACAATTGCAATGCCATTGTTGCAAGAGATATTGCTATATTGTGGATAGAGTAGACATATTTATAATTTGAAATTTAGCGTTATTATATGTTACTGTGAATGTAGTGAAATTGAAACATTTTGGAACACTGATTAATTAATAAGTACTTTTTATATACCGGTGACGTTTAAATAATGAAATCAGTGACATCACCAAGCAGATCAAATACTAATGGCCGATAGTCTATTAAACTGAAATAAATTATGTCGAAGTGGACACATCTTACACACGTGGTATATCCATAAATAGGAAGAGGAAATTAGATGAAAGTCAACACTTTCTGAAATGAAGAGAAAGTTAAACTACTAGCGCGATTGACGTCAGTTCATTGCTCTGTTGCCAATGCTGGCTTCTTGGGTTGCGTCAACGTCACGTGCGAAGTCCCAAATTGCTTTGTAGTACCACACATCACGGTTATTAAAACCGTACCCGTGCACACAGTAACCAGTTTGTAACCAGTTGAGTAAGAATACATACTACCACATACTTAGTAGCTTCTTTATGATAGACACCACATTCCTTTAGGACGTCTCGATGTCTTGCAGGTGAGCGTGTAACCATAAGTTCATGTTATTGCTATGCGATCTAATAAATTAGGGCATCTTTCATGACTACTAATGCATGTTATGGGCTTGAACACTTTTTTTTCAAATATCTGCACTATCCCATGGTTACCATTTTATTCAACATATTTCCGGGGAAATGGGTGTGCACTCTGTGAAACAAACAACACTGAGAAAAACCTTACTGAAAATTGACAACACTAAATTATGAGTAACCTATTTCCTAAATTCCACTTCGCTGTAAATATCACCTCAAATGTTATCCTGGTTTTATAAAGCATGGATATACAAATTATGAGTTCCACTGAACGACCTCTGTTTCTTGTGCTCCATTGTGCATCTTTTCCCCCTCCGCTCTATTTTTTAAAAGTTGGGGGCATGAACAGAAACAATGTTATTGTCAAAACAGAAGTCGTACCCGGGTGTGATTTTTGTCAAGTAATGCGAGGAGGAACTGACCTGTGTCTCCGAGTTTAAAGTTCGAAGTTCATCATACAACACAGAATTCCTAGTCTCCGTGCTGTTTCCACTGCCGTTTACATCATAAATAACCCGGATTATGTCACACTTATAGGAACTTGGACAGTTGTAACCGTGTGCACATTGTAATGTACAGTCCTTGACGTGGGAGGTCGTGTTAAACACAGTACAGTTCGTCACTTGAAACGCTTCCGTAGTGATCTTTTGGAGAGAGGGTCGTACGACGACGTAGACACACACAAACAGTGCCACCGACGCTAACAGCAGTGTGATCAGTGCCACTACTATCCCGACTAGATACTTATGACTTCGAGTTCTCATCTTAGGTCGAGGTAAATATAGGACGGGTGGTCACATACAAACTACGCAAACTCTTCGAATACTATCAAATCACATGACAAGATGTTAAAAGGCCAAAGTTCATCGCTTTTGAGTCTGGAATGTATTATGTAAATGAGCGTCTACTCATGGGCGGCGCACGTTGCTTGTAATTCCTAACATAGTTTAGGTTTAGAGTGCGGTCACGTGAATCGAAAGCCTTGAGTGCTAGTTGGATTGTGTTAATATTTGTAGTTTGCAGGTGGAGGTGTGTCTCCTAGTTAAAATCACGTGAGTTAAAATAAAACACATTCCCAGTTCCACAGCGCGAATAAACATAGAATTAGGCCTATGTGACGCAAGTGCATTGGCGGTCAATGACCTATCACGTACTAGTATATCCATCCACAGTCCCTCTATCTGGTAGAGGGACTGTGATCCAACATAGGATGGACCACAGTCCCTCAAAGGGGCTGTGGATGGACACACTCGTCATGAACCACGGTACCTTATTTGGCACAATTATTAAAAACACGACTTACAGTGTCGGTAGACCTAGGTGGGAAACCACAGAAATGTGGGGAGTTGTGCCACATCCCGTATGATATCAGGACACCAGATAGAGGCGATAGAGCGTACTTATACCAACACCCAAGCTGACTACAATAGGTGCTCTAATGTAAAGCAATTATCACTGTGTAGGATAAAATGTGGGTCCAATCCATCTAGCCATTTATCATGTCACGTTTCTATTTATAAGTGGTCGCATATAGCCCCCGTATGACGTGGCCTAGTAAGGGAAAGAAGAGTCTTAATGTGGGACATAATTTATTGTAGGACTCAAACCATGAATTAAATAAGTTACCAAAGGGAGATTGACACACGTTTATAGAAATCACTTCTTTATTCTTAGCCCGTAATATGTTAATTTTACTAAAGACATTAGTTTCTAATGTGACAGTCTTTGATTTTACCTTACATGAGAAGAGTGCCCAATTGAAGACAACTATTTTGGTCCGAAAAAACGGTGGGCGTTGAGCAGCTCGTGTTCGTGTGATTTCTTGTAACAAACACTGTATATTACTCAAGTTGTGTGCGACGCTATCAAACACGACGCAACGACATTTGCCCTTTATTCTAAAGTTTGAAACAAAGAAAATGTGTTTCCAACCCGAAAATTTAATAAAACAGTCTGAAATACGAGTATGACATCTAATGAAGAAAAAGTAGTTTTGAAAAAAAGGGGATCACATTCTAATATAGGATGATTTGTATGTATGTATCAGGTTGGCAAGACCAGTAAAAATCACTATTTATATAAACTTTGTGTTCTGTGGAATTTTTTTTTTTTAATAATTTCATTAGAATATATGATAAATGAGGACCAAACGGCAACGAAACATGATGTAAACATAACACAATGTAACATTGCTTATTAGAACCTCAGACTAGTATTACTAGTCTGAGTTAGAACATTTTATTAGCATTATTTCGGTTTGAAATGTATACACATCATCTATGGGTAACAGTGTCACGTGACATTTAGTATGTTTGAGTTCGTCATGGATTCCACCATGTTGTGCATCTTCCTCTTCTTTTGTGTTCTATGATACCAAATTTACTGTGGGTGATAGTAGAGAAGTCAGTCAAGACGGTATTTACGCTTCTGAGGCTAGTGAACAACTAACTTTTTTTCAGATACTATACACTTAATAAATACAATAAAAACAGATGTCATAGTCATTACTGTAAACTTGAAAGGGTGCCGCTAATGGACACTAAAACAGTAGTTGGTCCAACCCGTAGTTGGTCCGGAAGGCAATCAAGCAATGTAAATAACCTTGCGTGTTACGTAACGTGGTAACAGACATTGTGTCTGTCTATTCCAGACATTTACTACTATGACAACATAAAGAACGAGATGCTCGTTTTAGACATATTTTATTTGAAACTCACTTTTTTAACTTTTTGAAGATGACGTCAATGTTTTATTGTTGTGGAAATTTATATTTTCAAAAACAGACTGAGCATATTTTTTGAAGTAGTATGGTCTAAGACTTCTGTTCAAACCGCGCTGTCAGATTTTGAACGCGGAATGTCACTTGGACCTCTTCAGTTCCAGTCTGAGTTTGTGGAGTTCCAGTCTCAAGTTTTTGATCGGACACCACGCTATTTTGCATAACCTGTCCAATCGGGCTGTTAGTACGAAGTACCCGCTTATGTGGCGCACCATTCGTAAGACTTTCACCCGTGTTGGTATTACTACACTGTAGTTGCTGGAACCTTGACGCTATGTTTGCAACGGACCCAGTTGTAATATTTTCTAAATCGTTGTTGGCTGGGTATCTAATGGAAACTTCGTCTGCCGTCGTAACCTCATTCACTAGACCAAAATTGCTCTTGTCCCCCCCTTCACGTGTAACCACGTGACTCGGAATTCTTGGTGAATTCTCCGTTTCTATGTTCTCTGCTCTCATCCCCGCACCCTCACGGTCACCGTTTTTATTTCCTTTCGCCGCCTCTGTGTTCTGATTATCGCTGCCTTCCCGAAGTCTTCTTCGATAACAGATACGAATTAGATATACTATGAGAACGACCAGGAACACAGCTACAACAATAATAGTAACGATTGCTACAGATACCGGCAACTCAAAGTAACTGAAATGCTTCATGGATGCGGACACGATGTTGGACCTTGGTGACTTGCTACCGGCATCGTCTACGGCAACAACACAAAACACGTAACTTATATCCCCTGTGAATAACATGACATAATAAACCATTAAATCAAAATATTCATATCATTCATTTTATGCTGTATACTTTGCACTGAACGTCTGTTAAACACGACTGTGGCAATTTATAATTTTGCAATATGTACGAGAACATTTATCCCTCCCTTTCATCTCCACATAAGAGCAGCAACAATGAAAATCAGTATAATCACAGTCCCTCAAGATGGACTGTGGTATAATATACGATGAATCTTATCTACCTCTGTGTAACACATA